GGTATCTTTTCATCTTGTCATAGATTCTTGTGTAACGGTGGAGATAAAAGGTACCTGGAGGTAGGGGTTGTGGGGATTCCCCAGAGAGAATGAAGAGGCAAGTTAGAATAATCAAGTAACTATTACTAGAGTAATGGAACAGTGTGTCGCATTGATCATGGCTGGTGGCTACAGTGGGAGCTCTGGTAGCATAGTGCCTAAGGCACTTGACTGCTAACCAGAAGGCTGGCGGTTCAAACCCACCAGCCACTCCTCAGAAGGCAGATTGGGCAATCTACTTCCATAATGACACTGCCTCAGAAACCCAAGGAGGGGTTGCACATAACAACAACAACAGTGGCTACAGTGGGAAATCCCCTATGTTATGTTACCTGTCACTGAGCTGGCCCTGATACATGGGAACCCCATTCAAAAACGCATTGGGCCACGATGATCCAGAGAGTTTTTTTTCATTGGCTGATTTTCAGAAGTCGATCACCAGGCCTTTCTTCCTGGTCTGCCTTAGTCTGGAAGCTCCGCTGAAACCAGTCCAGCATCCTAGCAACACGCCAGCCTCTACTGAAAGATGGATGGGGGCTGCTCGTGGGGTGCTCTGGCCCGGAATTGAGCAAACCTGGGTCTCCCCCGTGGAAGTGAGAATTCTACCACTGGCCTCCGAAAATCCACCAGAGCAACGCAAATGGAGAAGAAGGACTTAGAACAGAACAGAGGTCTCAGCCTCCAGACTAAGGGGTTGTTGGGTACTGTCCAATTGGTTCTTGATGCCTAGCAACCCCGTGTCATGGAGGAGGGCTGCCTCTCAGGGTTTGCTAGTCATCTGCACCAGAGCAGACCACCAGGTCTCTTTCCAGTGGAGTTGCTCGGTGGGTTCAAACCCCACCCTTTTGGTTAGCAGCCAAGCGCTTAACTATCATGCCACCAAGGCTCCTTTAGAAAGAGAGATTCCATCCAAAGAAGAGTCACAGAGAAGTCCCTTTTGTGCCTGTAGCTCCTTCAGGGTCATCTCGAGTCGAGAGTTAACCACAAGTGACAGCCAAGACTTTGAACCCTGTCATTTGTTTTTGGTTTTAAATGTTAGTAGGCAGAGTAGCAAGCTTCTACCTTTGGTGATTTCTGAGGGAGACAAGAGAGGAGAATCTCAGATTCTTCCTGCTCAAATCCTCCTCCACCCTGGTGTCTGTCAGAGCAACTCAAACACAGCCACCTCCCTGCTCTCCAAGGTCTTTGCCTGCCTTCTGCCTGATATTGGAGCCCTCCAGACATTTCTCAGTGCTGCCAGAGCCCAGAGGATTTGAAAGACCTGCGTGATCTTTGCAACTGACAAGCCACAACCTCCTGTCTAGAACTGCCTCCTTCAGAGAAGCGGAGGATGGAGGGGCGAGGGAGGGATGATCACAGATGTTCTGAAATTGCTGGAGGAGCTTGATTGTTAGGAGATGCTGGGAGCCAGAAACGAGAGGAAAACCAGCCAGGCTTGTTGGGGCCGAGTGCAGAGAAAAAGCTTCCGCTAAGGGATCTCACCCATGCAGGACTACTGCCTCTAGCCACAGAGGAGACTCTGGGGCACGGCGTGGCTGCCAGTCATCCAGGTGGTGGAGTGGGCTTTTGCTTCGGAATGGAGGGGGCAGAGGTCCTGTCTCAGGCCCCTTACTCCTGAGGAAGCTGACCACACACACATGCATACACATACAGTTTTATTTTAAAAGATCTGTATTTATCTAAACTATTTATATAAACTAGATAAATGCCAGGAGCTCTGGTGGCATAGTGCCTAAGGCATTTGACTGCTATCCAAAAGGTTGGCAGTTCAAACCTACCAGCCACTCCTCTGAAGGAAGATGGGGCAATCTACTTCTATAGAGACACCACCTCGGAAACCCAAGAAGGGGTCGCTATGAGTCAGGTCCAACTCAACAGCAGTTTTTTGTTCCGTTTTGTTTCGTTTTTGGTTTAGATATATACCAGTCTTTTAAAATACTTACCTCTAAAATAAAAATGTGTGTACGAGTGCAATCATATATGTAATTTGTATAATCAGCTTATCAGTAGGAGCCCTGGTGGTACAATGGTTAAACCCTCAGCTGCTAACCAAGAGGTTAGTGGTTCGAAGCCACCTAGTGGCCCCTCGGGAGAACTGGTGACCTGCTGCCATAGATTCCAAACCAAAGCAGAGCGGTTTCCATCCAGTGGATTCCAACTCATAGCGACCCTATAGGACAGAGTAGAAGTGCGCTGTAGGGTTTCCAAGGCTATAATCTTTATGGAACACACTGCCACATTCTTTTTTCCCCCAAGGAGAAGCTGGTGGATTAAAACTGATAACCCTTTGGTTAGCAGCTCAGCGCTTAACCACTGTGCGGTCAGGGCTCCTTCTAGAAACATCATGACATGCTAGAAAACCCTATGGGGAAGTTTCACTCTTGCCGTGTGGGGTTACGATTGATTTGTAATCCACTCAACAACCCAATTGCAAGAAACAACACAAAGGCAAGAATATCAATTCTACGAGCTTTTAACTGCTAGTGACACCCATTTAAATAAATAAATAATGTTTTCATTTAAAAAGCATATCAAATTACAGAAAAAAGTTAGTTGCATATAATATTAAATATTCAGCATTTTTTAAAGATAGGTATGTATATAAATTAAATATAGGCTGATCTTGTATAATACCTGTCTTTTAAAACAAAAATGTGTCTGTGCTCTGGGGCATATATATTCATGTGTGTATACAGTTTATGTAACAAGCATATCAAATTTACACGTTCATTATTACTGTTTATGACATGCACTTAAATAGGTTTGTTTTAATTAAAAGTTAGGTAAAATTAGAGAAAAAACTTAGTAATAGTAGAAATGGTAGGTGGGTATTACAAACTGTTTGAAATAAAAATAGACTATGCTTTCAAGACCTACATGGTAATTCCTTCCATTCAGGGGTGAAGCCATAGATTCAAGGGGGCTAGAAACTGACCCAGAAGGTTAAAATAAATAAGTGGATAGTGGTGTACAAGGACAGTCTCACTGAATTTCATAGAAGCATTTGTCTTAATAAAATCAAGGGGCAGTCAAAGAATGTAGCATTTGATTGGAGGATGATTATTTAAATGAAAAGAGGGCCAGGAAGATATAAAGTAATAAAAATGAGTGAAGCAAGTATTGAATTTTCACAGTCCTCAGTTCTCCTATGAAAAGTTTTGGTTTGTTGCCCTGGCTAAACACACCCATCTGAATTCCTATCCCTGTGCCACCCACAGAGCTCATAACCAGGAGCTTTCCCCATTTCCCCAGTATTTGGGCTCAGGTATCAGAAGTGCCACAGCTTCAGTAACAGGTTAAGCTGAAAAGCAGAAAGTCTCCACATCAAACCCAAGTCCTTCCTTCCTCCTGAGACCCTGCTGTCAGCGCAGTCTAACGGAGGGTCCGGGTTAGGCTGGTCCTTTGCGGGTCACCCTGGGGAAGCAAGACTCCGGGAGTTAATGGCCTGATCTATGGCCAATCACAGGCTTGATGCAGGACCAGCATTTGTTCCCAAATGCAGGGGGTCGCCCCATGCAGTATTAGCTGCCAAGTCCACGGCCGCTAAGGACATGTCCGAGATGAGCTACTCCCTGTTTCATGAACCCCCTCTTTTCTCCTCACAACAGTCCTGTGAAGTAGGAATTTCGTGACCTCCATTTTTTTCAAAAGAGGGAACATCATTTTCCAGAAAAGAGATTAAATAATCTTTACAGAAACCTCCCTGAGCCTGGGGTTTGAGCCCACATGATCTGGCCCGAGTTCAAGGCTTAAGCACTGAGCCAACAGATGAAGTCACTGCCCTTTGCAAGCCCACTCTGAAAAATGCAGTGAAAGAAAGCAGAGGAGGGCTGAGACGGAGAGGTCGGAGTGGGACGGCCACTGCAGAATAACACCTACCTGTGAAACATTCACAAAAGCCTTGAAATCTAGGGATGAGAGAGAGGAGGAGGCAGGGAGACAGAGAGAGAGACAGAGTCAGGGAGACAGGGACAAGGAGACAGACAGGGAAGGGCCAGGAGAGAGAGATGCAGAGACACAATTTACACATTGACAGGTACAGCTCTGAAAGTTTAGATTTTAAACTAAAAAAGAAAAGTTAAATAAAACTAAACTGGAAAGAGTATGCAAGAGATGCAAGCATGCACACGTATATGTGTCTGTGTCTCCTTATACGACAGGCTTTCAAAACGTTCGACCACATAGATGGGGAGCTGGAAAATTGAACTTCAGTCTCTAGCATCACATGAAAGATTAGCCTGGCCCGGGAATAACTAAATGCCAAATAGTGCTTCTCATTGTGTAGACAGGGTCAGTAGGCCCCTGCCCATGTTAGACGGGAAGGAAGTGAAGGCATGCGGATGCCATATGCATGACCAGTAGCTTTTCTGGACATGCATATTGATGTTTTCCTAAGGCACCTATTACAAAAAGTAACTTTTGTCATTTTTCACGTGCTTCATTATTTATTTCACAAAATGTAATTCTGCTCTCTGCTGTTAGGTGGAAATTAACTTAAAAAAAAAAATGGTATAGATGGAATCATGGTTGCCACTCTGCTGTTGTCTTAACTGCCCCAGTTATTAGGCATCAAAATGAAATCCTAGGTGTTCCACTCTCCGTCACGACACAAAGAACGGAATTTGAGATCGTTAACTTGAACTGCTAGGACATACGTTGAAGGTTGAGAAGCCATGAAATTACCCTTTTTCCTTCTTTAAAAGTAAACACCGGTTACCACGCAAATATAATTAATGTACTTCAGTCTCAACCCACTCTTCTATAAAAGAGTGAATTTGCCATCAAACAATGGTTGGCCACACTTTGTTCCCCGTGACGTTTGGTGGGTTATCTCAGGTCCTAGTGATGATGTGAGAAGCAAACTTGTAAATGGATTGCTCTGAAATTTCTGTCTGATGATGCATTTTCTTTTATTTATTTCAGTTTTGCATTGAAAACATTACATTTCTGTTTCCTTATAGAGTAGTGTATCAAGAGCCTGTGTATGGCAATAAATTACTGCAGGTATGAATTCCCAACTGGTGGAAAACCCCTCACTCTGATCTGGGTTTGCTGTGGAATCCTACTAACAAGACAACTTCCGGGGAGGGGAGATGTTTTCTAACCCAGGAGGAAAGACTCAACTGAATTTTCCAGTTTTGATGTTCGTTCTTCTAGAGCAGGGATGGTCATCTTTAGATTGTCCCTGCTCCTCTGATGTGTGTACTGATTGGCTTGGGCAGACCCTTCCAACATGAGGGCTGTTTTCCTGTCTGGCCGGCCTGGGCTATGAGCTTGGTTAGGTCATGAGTCCATCACATTGGGAGGCTTGCGATGTGATGCACTCCCAAAGCATTGACACAACCAACATCAATTCAGTGAAACAAATTCAAGGGTTTCATGGAATGAATTCTCTGGGTAAGTTTTCAATAGGTTCCTAGACTCATCTAGAATGGTTAACCCAAATACCTCCTGGAAATCCAGCTTTGAGAGTCAGAATAAGGTGCCCTGGTGGTGCGGTTGTTAAGCGCTCAGCCGACAGCGGAAAGGATGGCAGTTGGAGCCCACCCAATGGGTCCCGAGGGAAAATGGCCTGGCAATATGCTTCCATAAAGATTATAGCCAGGAAAACCGTTTGGGGCAATTCTGTTCTGTCACATGTGGTCACTGTCAGTCGGAACCAAGTAGAAGGCATCAACCACAACAACACAACCAACGTAGCTCTCCCTGGGCTCATTGTAGCTGGTCAGAAATTTGCTTCACACCTATTGTTACTGCTTTCAAACCAGTTTCCCTCTGTTGAAGCAACTCACAGATAAACAAATTTATAGGAAGGCAAAAGAGTCACACTTGACTTACACACACACTCCGTTACACTGGAGTGTAACAGGCTGAGACTCCCCCAATCTGGTCTATAATCAAACACTAAAAGCGGCAAATAAAAATGAAAAGAAATGTAAGGAAAGATCAGGGGTTGTTTTATGGCCTGGGCTTCCCCAGGCCCTGCAGGTCCCACTCGTATTCACTATTAAGTCAGTTAAGAAAGCACATATTTCTTTTTACCATCAGCATTGATCACGTCTTAATAAAAAATCTAACAGGAAAAGGGGGCAGGTAGGCCTAAGAAAGCAGAGAATAATCCACTTTGCTAAGATCAGCATTCATCGTCCCATCTCAAGAACACGAAATGTCAGTTGCCACACTTGAGAGCTGGCTGTATGAAGCCGACAAATGGGCAGAATGGTTCATACCGCAGTTTCCACTTCACAGATGTTTCTCTGTTACCGTAGTCAATGAAATGTTCACTGAGCTACATGTTTCATGATCCACCTGCTTTGCACAAAGTGAAGCCCTCGCATATTCTCAGTAAGGAGGCCCCTGCTAGCTTTGACTAAGGCCGTTATCACTTTATTGGACTCCCTGGGAGGTGCAACAGTTCCCACCCTTGGCTCCTAACCCAAAGGTTGGCCGTTCAGATCCACCCAGAGGCACCTCAGAAGAAAATCCTGGTCCCCGACTTCCTCAAAACCAGCCATTGAAACCCTGCAGAGTACAGTTCTACCTGATCCACACAGGGTTGCCGTAAGCTGGAAGTGGTTCCATGGCAACCGTTTCTTTTAGGCACCCAAGCTGAAGAGAAGAAGTAGACATGTACAGTCCTGCTGTCCCACGTCCCCACCAGTGTGTTCAATTTGCATCCCCCTTTTTAAGTAATTCACTTAGCTGCTGCAACTTCTTTTTCCAAAAGAATGCTGTAAAGTTGAAGGCTTGCTTTCCATGGTCAAGGTCTCGGAGACACCTTGGATTGGAGGGCCACAAGGTCATCAGTGTCATGTTAGGATGGCCCACCAAAGTGCCTAAGGCACTTGACTGCTAACCAGAAGGCTGGTGGTTCAAAGCCACCAGCCACTCCTCGGAAGGAAGGTTGGGCAATCTACTTCCATAGTGATACCGCCTCAGAAACCCAAGGAGGGCTTGCTATGAGTCGGATCCGACTTGATGGCAGTGAGGGTTTTTTTTTTTTTTTTTTTGGCAAGTTTTCCCCAACCGTCTCGGGGAAAAGTTTTAGGCCCTTAATTGGTGTCTTCTTCAGTGGACCGCCAGAGGCCTTGCTAACAAAAAAAAAAAAAAAAAAAAATTCTCAGACCCTGTGAGCCTGTGTCCCCATAGCCACAATTTTGGAGAAACAACCCATCATGTCCGTTTCACAGTGATACTTTACGTGTGATCACACAAATCTTTTGCTTGTCGACATGTGAAAAAGGAGTCTGTGTTCTGAGAAGGGAATGTTGAACCATCTTATGCTCCTCACCCCCTTTTCCTTCGGTTTATGAGTGGGAATGTTCTAGTTGGCAAGCACACAGTTCGGTCCGAGGCACTGGGAGGACCGGGTTTGATGTGAACACGGTCTGCTGGTAGCACTTGAGTCCTCCTTCTCCAGACACTCGCATGGAACCTTGTAGAAGTCCTGGCCATGCTCAGCGAGCCGCAAAATATGGGGCAATCAAATTGATGAGAGTCACCCGTTAGAAAGGCAAATTAAAGCAATTTGTATTTTTGTTGTTGTTCATTTTACAGCGTGGGCACATGAGCACTAAGTTAATACACAATTCTGTCATTGTCTGAAACAGATTTCATGCGGAAGAACAATTGCAGGGAAAGACGGTGCAGTGCATACACTCGGACGTATCGAGCCACCAAATCCCCATTTTTAGTTATTACCTGTGTCAGGGATCACTTAGATCTGTGCAGTTTTAATAGTGTAACTCCCAGCCATAGGAGGCTTTTTAAATCTTAATTCAAATGAACTAGATTAAAATAAAAAATGCAGCTAATTGCACAAGTCACATTTCAGGCACTCAATAGTCACTAACGACAACGTTCCAAAAATCAAACCAGTTGCCAACTTCAACTCATGGTGACCCCAAGTGTGACAGAACTGTGCTCCTTAGGGTTTTCAATGGCTGTTTTTTTTTTTTTTTTTTTTTTTGGCAGTAGATCACCAGGCCTTTCTTCTAGGGCACCTCTGGCGGGGTTCAAACCACCCACTGTTTGGTTAGTAGGCGAGCCCTTAATGGTTTGTGCCACCAGGGCACTCCTCCACTGGTGATAAGTAGCCACCATGTCGAACAGCACAGGTGTGGAGTGTTCCCATCACCACCAGAAACCCAGCTGGACAGCACTGAAGCCTTATCAAGCTCCAGGTCTCCCCACTGGCTGCCTTGACTTCTGAACCAGGATGCTTGTGAACCAACCTCTCCCTAACAGAGACAAACATCAGGGCATCGACTATTTGTGTCTGCCTTGGATACTGATGCTCATTTTGCCTAAATGGCCACATTGTGTGCACATGGAATGGAAGTCCTTCCAGCGTCTTCACGGGTGGCCACCCCTCTTGTGCAGAAGGATCCCGAGTGTACACACGTGCATTTTATGTTTCTGCGAGGGCTTCCAAACAAGTCATCAGTATGGTTCTATGTCCGTTACTCCCTATCCCCACTCCAGCCCTTCTTCCTGCCTGTCAGCCTCACTCACTGCTTTCACTGGCCAAACTACGACAGCTTCAGGGACAGATACAAATCCAAGTGGACATTACTAGATGTTTCTACTGAGTCCCAAATCACAGTTTTTATGGCATCTGGTGACCTATGTAAACACCTTCTCCCCCAAATCCCAGAGAGAAAAAAATTTACACACACACACACACATACACACACAAACATTTTCTCCCTTCAAAGTTTCCAGCCAATTACAGTTAACCTATAGTGCAAGCAGTCAAGTGCTGGGCCACTAGCTGGAAAGTTAGCAGTTTGAACCCATGCAGAGACACCTTGGAAGACAGCCCTGGTGATCAACGTATGAAAAGTCACAGCCTTGCAAACCCCATGAGTACTGTTCTATTCTGTACACATGGAGGCCTCAGACGCCAACTGCCACCACCAGCAACTAGCCAAACCCTGTCCCTCCTTAAGTTTCATATCCCCACCACCACACCTGTCCTGCATCTTTCTGTATGCCTCGTGGGAGACAGGCAAACAGATGAAAAGCATGCCTCCTGAAACCTGGTGACCTAATTTCCCCCAGCCCATCAGTTTGTGTCGGAGCCCAGTGCTGGTACGACATACTGCTTTGCTTGTACAACTCCTCAGCAAATTTTAATGAGTTTCCGGGTACCTAATTAGACAACATGGTGCCTGGAACACCAGGTGGTGGCTGGCTAGCACCTGTTTTTTAACTTCCACATTGTTTTCTAGAGGAGATTAAAAAAAAAAAAAAAACTGGCTCCAAATTATTGGTGGTTATCTGTCAGGATGTCTGGGATCTGTCTTCTCTGGGGCTGATCCAAAGAATGAACATCTGAAAGGATGTTCGTGGATTTGCTGTGCAAGTAAGACACACACACACACACACACATACACAGACACAAAGTTCCTTGCAAAGTGAGCTGTGGCTGGAAGAGGGTTGAAGGAAATGGTTGAGCAGCTCACCCACATTTTGAAAGATGCCTTGTGCAGCTTTTCTGCTTCAACGATTCCTTTCCGATGACTTGGTTGCCTCCTGTACATGGAGCCAAATTTAATCAACTCCCCCAGTCCTGGTTTTATCAGTAGATATCACGGCCTTGAAAAATCTGTGGGGTAGATGTGTCCCGCACACATGCTGTCATGACTCGCAGTCAATGTGAAGGCATCTACCCACCACCACTCTCAGACGCACTATCCTGACCTGAGTTGCCCAGTTCGGTAAGGGCGAGAGCCCCTCTGCGGAGGACCACGGGCCTGTTTCTTCTCATCACATCTTGAACAGCCCCTGTGTCATCTGTCAGTGGTGACTGGGTCCTGTTTCTTAATTGTGCCAAGATCGTTCAGCAATGCCTGATGCATCGTTGTGGTCCGCTGAACAAGAAGCTCTGTTATTTTCACAGTTTGATCATCGATGCACCACTGAACACAGTTCCTTTCAAAGATGCACATTTGCTTGTCCTCTCTGCTTAATTGAACAATTACAATTACCGTTACATCCAGCTAAATGTTAATGATATTTTTTTCGGAATTTTTTCTCTTAATGGTTTTGTTTACAAATTGGAAGATGTTATCATATTTTGTACACCAAACCAATCCCCCATCTGAACCCGTGTGGTTGAGCTGAAAAGACCGAATTTGCAAGAAACATCCACCATTCCTTTTTATAATGATTATGTAGCTTTTAGAAAACTAAAGAGCCTTCTTTATTAGCTTGAGTAGTCAAACGATCATACATGTGGGAGATGACGGCTAACTTCCAATCAAAGGATTGTGTGATTTGTCCTTTTTTAAAAATAAGAGGGCATCTACTTGACCTCTAGTTTGTTATTGTTGTAAAAATGCAGAAAATGCATTTGCCAGTTCAACATTCTTCCTGTCTACAATTCAGTGAGATCAGTTACATCAGTCCTGTTGTGCAGACTTCACCGATAGCCTTTGCCAAAATTTCCATCCCATCCACAAAAACTCGGTGCTTCCTAAACTTCTAAGAATCAGAGACCGTTGGCATAAAATTTACAAAAATGACTAACAAGTAATGGTTAAGCATAATCATTTCAGAACATCTGGGAAGTGCAGCTAACTATGAAGAGTGTTTAAATAATTTCCTGTGGTTTTCCCCATCCCAAGACAATCACCGTTAATTAACATGCAGGTGTATTTCCTTCCGAGGGCCTGGCTTCATCTGGGTGTGGTTCAAACTGCTAACCGTTAACATCCAGCTGGGGTTGATCTCAAGCCCTTATCTCCCCAGCGTGTTCTTCTGCTTCGATACTAAGCTCATTAACCGCAACCTTAGGTTGGTAGAGTTGGGTTAACGGCTGTTCTTGTGTGGTCTCGCTACTGGGCGTCCCCCGAGCTGGGCTCCTGTGCGTCTCTGAGTCTACTTTCTCCTTGTGTTGTAGGGTGGTTATGCTGCGTACCGCTATGCCCAGCCTACTCCTGCCACTGCCGCTGCCTACAGTGACAGGTAAGCATCTTTCTTCACGTGCTTGCAGAGCACTTGCAAATTAACTTAGCTGGTGGGAGAGGAGCGTCTTGGCCAGCCTTGGTGGAAATGCATGACTGCTTGGGAGGTGGCACCCAAAAGTCAGCTGTCACAGTGAAAGTACACACGGCGCCACCTAGAGTGGGGATGAACGAATAAGACTCGTTCATTGTGAACTCCTCTTCCTCTCTGCCAAGACACAAAGCAATGATACGTCTTGTCCCTCTTGAGTTGTTTTATAGATCTCTCGATTCCTGTGCCAACACACCTTGCATGCACACACGGTAGACTCCCCGTACAACCTTCTCATGGTCTTCTACATAAGACCATGGCTTCATCTAACTCAGAGCAAGAAAACAGAAGATGACCCTGCAGGTGTTTACCTAGATTTCAAGCCCACTCTGTCTCGTTTTGCAATGTTTTACAGCAGGGGAAGCCTTCCCTCTGTTGCATTTTAAATTTTAACTAAAGGAAACGGGGAGGGTGTTTATCTGGCACTCATAAGGAGATGCATTCTTTTTGGCAATGCCCAGTGTCCGATCCTGTAACCGTCAGTCAACTTATATTTGCAAATGCACATGATGTGTGGAGACTGACAGTGCAAGGGACTGGTGTTTGCAGAAGTCAGGGTGGACTGGCGGGGAGCTTTGTTACTTGGGCTTAACAAATGAGTTGGTTCCTGAAGCAGCAAGCCAGAGCGATTTTTGTATATTGTGCCTTAAGAAAAAAAAAAAAAAAAAAAACAATGTGCGTGTTTTCATATTGAATGCAACTCCTTGGCTCTGTTTTCTGAGGACACAAATGTGAATGTTCAGGTGCTATGCATGCCCGGTCGTCATGGAGGTGCTTCTTCTGGTAATGACATCTTTGATTTTCCAATCTGTCTCATGAATAAAATAATAATTATAACAATTTGCATGTGTGGCTGAGGCATGCTGGGTCAGACAGGTAAGCAGGTGATGTCTTTGACTCTTGGTGGAGAGGTATCGGCAGCCACTGGTCTCCCCACCCGGCCTGTTGCGACTGAGCTCCTACCCAGGTTTACTGTGGTGTGCTTTCTCTGCAGTTGCATTTCATTCCTCACAAGGTGTGTTGTTAGCTCATTGCAGCTGTGGGATTCTTCTGTGATCTAATAAAAGCAAGATCAAATCCTGAACCCTAAAAGCTACACTTTGAAAACCCCATGCAGAAAAATTTATGACCAATGGCTCTTTGGCAAGATAGGGTTGGGCATCGGCTGTCTGGTTGTACTCAGGTATGATGATGACGATGATGGTTTTCTTATAAACGGCCGTCACAAGTGATCAAAGCTGTAGGTGGCCTCCAAATAATTCCAACAATGATCAAGATGCCATTCTAAATCTAAAAATCATCCGGTCCCCCAATACTCAGTTGCCAAGGAGCAAAATACGTTTTGTGTAAGTTACTGTTTGCAGTACACGCTGACACCGGCTTAGGAGAATAGAGAGGATTAATAAGGCTAAGAAAAATAATGACAGTCTTGAAATTCTCAAGATCATCCAACAGATAAAAAGGCTTAATGCTAGGAAATCCTGCACCCTGAAGATTCACACAGTGTCGATTGTAATGCAGTTCAGCTACAACCCTTAATTATTTTTATGAAAATACCTCTAGATGCTAACTTCTCAAACACCCACTTTGTATATAATTATAATCATAGTGACTTTAGCCTACTGTGTAATTATAAGAATCTTAAACGGATTTATTTCTTTGGATTTTTATCTTGATTCTTAGTATAAGTGCATCTGTCCTCTAGTTGGAGGGGGGAAAAAAAGTTTACAAAGATATAATTTAAATTGCTTTCTTGAGTAAGACCTATCTAGACATTTGAAAAAAATCATATCCAATACTGTTCTAAAATAAAATTACTTGACAATTCAGCCATCAACTTGAATTCATCTAAAAATGAAGTTAAAATGTTGCTTCGTTTGGAGGACCATATATGCAGATAATGTATGAAATCTGTTATTTTCATAGTAAGATGAATCGGCAATGTGTCCCATGGAGAAATTGCCCTCTCCCTTAGACTGGTAAATTTTGAAAAACCCTGCAGGTCCCACTTTACTCTATTAGCTTCAGCTGAACAAACCAAATAAATATGCCCTTCCCCACATAATTGGCCCCTTGTTCATTAGGGAAATTGACACATGAGGTCTTCCTGGTTCTGTGGAAATGGATTAGTGGCCCTATTTAACTTCATTATAAGCGAGGCACTTGCTACATATGGAATTATGACATTGAGGTCAGTGCACTGATAGGTCCAGTCAATTACCAGAAAACAATCTTTAAAATGATATTTCTGGTTTGATTTCTGAGGTGTTACCTATGAAACGGTGGCATGTCCTTTAATCTTAGTGAGTAGGTAGAGAGCAGGAAGACCATTTAATTGAAGATGTACATTCGGGGGCAAATGTGGAGTTAGCAGAATAGCTTTTGAAAGTACGTGAAAGATGACCATGCACGTAGAACGTATCTCAGGAGATATTATAAGCAGTCCCTTTTGCACTAGTGCAGCCGAGGAGCACAGTGGGGGACTTTCAGTTGTTATTCTCCAGGAGAAAAGATGACAAAGAAAACAAAACAACTTTAACCAAAAGAAACTGCTGCAAAATTAGAAGTGACATCAGCAAGAATCGAGAAGGCTTTGGTCACGCTCACGGGTTGTTAATCAATCCAAAGAGATACTGCAACAAACTTTCCCTGCAATCATGAAACTCACTCTGCAGAAGTCATGGAATCAAAAGTTTGATGTCCCCAGTTGGTAGGATTTTCCTTTCATCAGCACAAATTGAGCCATGAACAAATTAAAGATTCAGAGACCCTTGGACAACATTGAACACCAGTATGCCCAGAACTGTCCAGAGGTCCTTCCCAAGCACCTTGCAGCTCCCTGCCCATAATCTTTCCTGGTCAACTGATCACATGCTGGTGATCTGGGAGCATCCAAGAGCTCGGAACATTGACCTCCAGAATGAAGACCATCTGGTGTGGGCACAGAGTCCCCCTAAAGACAAAGACCTGAGTAGACTAGGTAATTTTATGATTCCGTTGAAGAATATAGTGGGACTAGGCAAACATCTTTTCTTGGCATTTAGGAAACATTTGGTAAGCAGTTGATCTCACCAAAACTTTATTTTTAAGCCCACTTTGATTTATGTCAAGACAACCATCCAAAGTCTGTCAAAGAAACTTGTGTTCTGAGCTTGAACCAATCAAAGCATGGCAGTGGGGCACACGGTCATGTGGTCATTGCATGCCTCTTGGTGTTGCTGATGTGTCTGTGGTACGGTCTGGAATTGACAGGTCCATCATCACATTAGCTCAATGAATGGCTTGCTTGAATTAAGCCTGAGGGCAGGCTTCTCCTTATTGACTGGCTCTTGGTTTCTTCGTGTATTGTAACTTGGTCATTGTTGCATCTTTGAGCAGCGGGGGGAGGGGTGGGGGTGGTATATTTCCTGTTCAATGAATTGTGCCACAAATATTTCTGAAAATATATATGATGTGTACAGAGCTTTAATGAAAACATGATCTTACAAGACAGACATTTGTCATGCTTGTTCTGCTTGCTAATATGTTAACATTTCCTAACGATCAGTGCATGAAAAAGTCCCTGCACATCACGGCAGAAAGGAGCTAGAAGAGACTGGGAGAGAAATACAGGGTGGGCTCTGAAGTACTAGAGTGATCTTGTTGCACTGAAACTGACCAGGGCCATTTCTTCCTTCCCATAAAGCATGCATTCCCTTGAAAGGTCCCCGAATGCCACCCAGTGTGTGACATACAGTGATAGCACTGGCCTGTAAGGGTCCCTAGAGTGAGCCAAAGAGGCGCCATGCAACAGGATTCTGTTTGGTTTTTTTTTATTTGATGCCTTTTTTGTTTTGTTTTGTTTTGAGCCCTTAGTATTTCATTTCTAATATCATATAAGATCGCACAGTATGAAATTGTTATTTTTGTGGGACAAACATGGTGGAATAGTGGCAATTTCATATGCTTCAACTTAATAGAAACCAAAAGAAAATGCCACAACATCAAGTATTTTGCTCTTTCCCTTTGAGCACATGTGTGCGTGCGCATGTGTGCACGTGCACGCGCACACACACACACACACATGCACAGCCCTGTGCTTGTCAGGGTTTCTCAAAGGACTCATAAGAGTGTCCAGTAAAAAGAAACAAGGACTTGCAAAGCCAAGCCACAAGCTAGAAAATCATTCACATCCTATATTCATAACCTATGAATAGAAGCTTCTATTTCAGGGTAGAGAAGAGGGTGAGGAGGTAGATATCGTAGCTCATTGGATGGGTGTATAGAAAGATGTATGTATGTATGGTAAGGAGGTAGGTAGACAGACAGATGGACAGAGGTACTAAGTAGATAAATAGATGGATGACTGAATACAAAAACCAAACCAAACTCACTGCCTCAGGTCGATTCTGACTCATACCAACCCCTTTTGGGTTTCTGAGGCTATAAATCTTTACAGAAGTACATTGCCCCATTTTCCTTCCATGGAGTGGCTGGTAGGTTTGACCCACCAACCTTCCTGTTAGCAGGCAAATGCCTTAGGCACCGTGCCATCAGAGCTCCTCATCTGGATACATGTATGACTGAGTAAGTGGATGGATAGATGGATGGACAGACAGACAGGAAAAGATCACCTCTCTGACCTCTCATAACGTTACATCATTGTGTAAACTGCGGGAAACAGAACTAAGTAAATTCTGTGGAAAAACCTTAGAAAGATCCAAACTGGAGAGGGAGAGTGGCAGGGAGGGAGGGAGGGAAGGAGAGAGACAGACAGACAGAGAGAGGGGGAGAGAGAGATTGGAGGTAGTTTCCATTAGTGTAGGCAGACTGCTCCTTATCTCTTTTAAGATTTTTTTACTTCCTGGACTCAGATTAAATAGAGAAATGCCTCTGTTAAAATAGAAAGGCTAATAATAATTGCATTTAAA